TTCTTCTCCCGGTCTGTCAATCCTGGTAGACCATACCGGTCATGGAAACGTCCACGCAATGGTCTTGGTCCCGGTTGTTTCTGCCTCAATCGGCTGACCGTCCGACAGGGAGGTCCCCCGATGATAGCAAGAAGTTTTCCCAGGCTTGCAAGTTTCCAAAGGAAACTCCATGTTCCCGGATTGTGTATATCTTGATTTCGACCTTCATTGATATCCAAAGTGATGACTTCAATCCCATTGATGGGATTCTTTCGCCATTCCTTCGCCCTTTCTCCAGCAAAAAGGTGGACTATAACCCCTTTTGAGGTGAGCAGCCTCCTTCTTTTGTGCCGGTTCCATGGTAAATCATGGTTCATTTGCGGATCTTCTTCATCTTGACCCCGCATGTAATTCCAAATTCTGTCCGGTGTTTCCGGAAATCGTGATCCCCACCACTTCTTGGTCTTCTCCGTGGGCTCTTCCAAGGTGAGCCGATGGTTGGTCCTCTTTTCCATTTCCATGTGCTCAATCTCAGTGATCAGAGCCAGAGCGTGGTCCTTTCGAACCACTGGACACCCAGACCTTAACCAACATTCTATGTTTCCCAGTCGTGGATGTTTCACAACACATCCTGCACGGGACCAAGTGATGGTGTATCCCAATTCCACCAAACCTCGAAGAGGTACAATTGGTTCCACCGGTCCCTCCGACAAGAGGGTTCCATTCACAGGATTTTGATAGAGCTGAGCAGCTCCATGTGCGAGTTCCACAGTGACCTGCACCGCGTTCTTGATCTCCTCGGTTGATCCCTGTCTCAAGGGGTGTGTCGCCCCACCATCCAATAAACCTGTTCCATCATCAAATTCAACTTCGAGATGATCCCCACCATGCCCCACCGATTTCAAGACCGGTCCATTGAGACCCTTCAAAAGGTTGGTCACTTCTCCCACAACCTTGTTGGCCTCCTCTGGCACAGGGGTTATAGTGACCGTGGACTCCTTCATCGGATTGATCTTCACGGTAGGTTCAGAATGTTCTTGAGCAGCACCTCCCTCTTTTCCAGGACCATTTTTCCTCTCTTGAGATCTTGAGCGGATTCTTGTGGTTTTGGCCACCTTTGGTTCCTCGGATCCACCTTGAGGACCTCGTGACTCACTTCGTTTTCCCGCCGGACAATCACGTCGGGAGTGTCCCCTTCCAGAACAGTTGAAACATCGGCCATCTTTGGAGTCCAGGACAGTGTGCGTGAATCGGCACCGGTCAGCATATTGGCATCCCTTATCTGTCAGCCAGTTGATGCACGCAGTCTTGTGGACCACATTAGCCGCGTTAATCGGCAGCTCGGGCTTTTCTCCCCTCCTTCCGGTGGAAGAACCTGCTGCGTCTTCTGGTTTTCCCTTTGAAGCGCCCTTTGGTGGGTTTCCAGATGAATCCGGCCCACTCATTGACTTCACCCCTACCACATTATTGGGTTTAGCCGCTGGGCCCTGTGTTATGTTCCCCGGTTGACGGAGAGCCATTTCACCAGCTTCAGCTTGAAGAAGTTCAGAAAACGTTCTGATCTCTTGCATTCCCGGCCGGAGATCTATGCCCAAATGCTGTCTCACCGAAGACAACCGGTAGGCAGCTTGAGCTCCCCCCAATCTGGCCAAGGCATCACTCATTTTTGCGACCACTCCGGCCAAAACCAGAGGATCGGGCAAAACCAATTGAAGTTCTTCGGCACGAACCACCCATCTTCTCCACTTCCGGATGGAGTTGACCATCTCTGCAGCATTATTAGATGGACATTTCCAGTCCACCAACATTTGCAGCAGGGCAGTTCTTTCCACTTGTCCCCCAGGTTGGAAGACGGTGTACAGCTTGAACATGACTTGACCCGCTGACATGTGTCTGTTCGCCACAAGGTCCTCGTAGATGTCCTTGGGGACGGCTTGAAGCAGCATACCCACCACCCGTTTCTCTGTGCGAGGCCACCTACGGGCCATGTCAGGTATCACAGGCGCCATCCGGAGCCTCATGAGTGGATCCGCTTGCAACCAGTGGTGGTATGCTTGTTCAACAGCAGTCATCACTACTTCCCACCATTGCTCTGAGGTGTAGCTCACATCCCCAATCATCTGTTGGGCAACTGTCAGCCAGTCTCCAAAGTCCAAAGATGTTGCATTCCTGTCCAGCTTCGGCAATTCGACCGATCTTAGCGTTTCGCCTGGTACTTCTCCCCCTGCCTGAGGTCCTGCTTGGACTACAGCTTGTTGTTGTTGTGGCGGTGCAGCTTGTCCTGGATTTCCTTGATGACCACCTGGGAGACCGGGATTCCCCTGATGACCACCTGGCGGACCAGGTGCTTGTCCGGGATTTCCATACTGCCCTGGCGGTGGACCCCCTGGCCAACCATAACCACCCATAGGTCCGGTGTTTCCTCCCGGAAATGCAAAAACCCCTTGAGGTCGATGATCTTGTCCTGCAGGTGCTCCTCCAACATGGACTTGAGGATTATACCATTGATTAGGTTGGTCACCGATGAAAAAGTGTTTTGTGTTTTCCGTGGCTCCCATGCAAGGAACTCCCATCGGTGGTCTTGACGCCGCTCTCTGCGGCATACCTCCCGGTGGTATTCCAATTAGCCACCCTTGATTCATATACACATCCATCGGCCGAAAACCTTGTTCGACCTTGGGCGCAGGAGGAACATTCCACAACTGACCTCCCGCCTGCATTTGAAGATCTTGATCATGGTGATGTTGAACTCCTGGAACTGGTTGATCTTGCACATGTTGTACCTGGGGTGGAACACCTTGAGGTGGCCCCACAGGAAAACCCTGCTCGACATTCTTCAGCTCCGGCGAGGCGGTTTGATAAGACCCCCCACTTGACTGAGAGCCCTTGTGACCTCCTCCGGCTTCTCGGACCCGTTCCAGGGCACGTTTCTCTTCCCGCGTGGCTAACCAATTTTCTCGATCTTGTTGGATCTCGGTCTTGCCCCGTTGAAAGAATTCCATCATTTGCTGTTTCAACTCCTCATACTTTTCCTTCTCCCTCGCGTCCGCCTGATCAATCAGGTCTTGCGACACTATGGGATAAGTCAGCTCTTTCACTGGAGTTTGTGGACTGCTCATTAGAGCTTCCACTCGCTTGGCAGCACTCCATGGATTCGTTTCCTCTGCAGCCATGACCCCGGTTACAATCCCAGGATCCACAACCGCCGTTCCCCACTGAGGCACCATTCCCGTAGGTGGCACTCCAGCACACATGGATTGCTGGGACATCCCAGCTACTTGCGAACCCTGTGTTCCACCAGTTGCGGTATACACCACAGGTGCTCCCGCTGGCTGGTAGATCACAGGTGAGCCTGTTGGTGCCGCTGGCACCGATTGTTTGACGCGTGCATCTTCAGGAGACTCAACAGGTGAACGTCCCGGTCGCTCCAAAAGAGCAACGGTTTCCACAACAGCAGCCGCACCTCCACTCACTTCAGTTGAGCTTTGGTGTTTTCCACCCTGTCCTTCTTCTCGATTACCCACAACAGGTGGTTCACGAAATCCCTCAGACATCCGGGCAACTACTGGTGTTTGTGTCATAGGCACTCCCGAAAGAGTTAGACTATTCACACCTGGGGTCAAACCAGACAACAGACCGCCACTCCCATTTCCTCGTACCACTTCAAGTCCAGGAGGTTCTTCAGGTGGTAAGGACACTGGTCTTGCGACTTCTTCCGCAACAGCCGGATTCTGGGCGATTCGTTCGCCCGCTCCAGCCCGGACCGCCGCAACCTGCACTAGGGCTCCACTTCCCCCAGCACCGGTCAGTGCCATCACACTTTCTCCAACTTCCCCTTCCATCAGTGATCTTCGGGTTGAGTCTGATGATCTTGTCCCTGTTCTTTCCCCATGTGCTTGTCCAGGTGCGTCCATCTCCTCCAGAAGCCGGTCCAGCATTTGGTCTGCCGTTTCCGCGCGTTCTTCTTTTCCATGTCCATGGGTCCCATGTTGTACTTCTTCAGCATGAGCAGCCGCTTGAACTTGGCGTTCTTGTCGACGACGCTGAGTGAATTCGCTGCTCGACATTGCTTCAAGGCAGCGTTGGGGTTGGGCTCATAACCCACGGGTTTCAGACTATGACCGAGACCCTTCCCGGAGAACCCCACCAAGAGGCAGATGCTGGCGCACCTTTTCACTCCAAGTTGGGCTCGGTAAATTGAGCCAGTCAGTTGATTGGCCCTTGAGCCAAGTTGCAACAGTCGGAGGACGTCTCAACGACTGTGAAAACTTTAAAAAAGACCTTAGTGGGGGTGCAGTGGTACTCTGTGCATGTTTCCCAAACCGCAGTAATAAACCAAGGTCTCGGGGACAGGTGTTCTAAACGGATTTTCTCGGGCGCCAAGTGCTTGGCTCCTCATCGGAAAGGATCACCTTTCTGGTTTATGTTTTGTCTGTTTGGTCTGTTTTGTGGTTGGGATTGTTACCCAACCTGCTGTCGTCATTTTTGAAGATCTTCCAAAAATGTTACCTTGCAAATGTGTAACATGTGTACCTTCCAAATGTACATTTATCTTCACTATACTAGTTGCTCTTCATACAACATGGTACATTCCGACGTTCTCCTATTTTGCTGCTGCCAACCCTAAACCCTACATGTTTGCTCATGGGATTGGGATGGGCAGAAATAGCTGGTCGTTTCGTGGATGATCAGTTCCCAGGCTTGGTTGATTGACATGTTGGGTTGTTGGCTCAAGAGATGACTAATGTTGAGGTATGTTGAGATTGCATTTTGTCACTGGGTTTCTCTGGGTTTGCTTTTTTTGCTAATGTCTTTAGATGTCTTGGAGTCTTGGGGAAGCCAAGTATTTTTGAAGCGGATTGCCAGGTTTTGCTTGATACGGAGCAGGTGTATATATAGGATACGTTTTTTTCTAACCGCTAGGCAACAAAGAAGAAGACAAAGAAAACTACAACTCCACAGAAAATCAAAGGAATGCAGAATGATGTTGAAGCCTCTGCTCTTTTTCACAATCGAGCCACATCTGGTTCCTCAAGTCTTCATGATTGTAGTCCACACCTGTATCGATCACTGCAACAATCACTTGACCAGAAAGGCCTTTGTGAATATTCCAGGCTTCAGGGGCATCGATGTCAAAGTCGCTGTCTTGATGTAGACCCCATAACTCATCGTAGGAATCGTCGTTCGGATGAGTCGCCTTTCCTCCTTCGCAACCGCCCAAATGACATTGAGGTGCTCGTCGGTGCATATGGCCTCTCCGGGAAACTTCCGGAACGGGCACCTTTCCACCTGGTGGGAACAAATCATATTCCGGCTGAAGCTGAATGCTGTTGCCAATTGCATGCCATGTCTGGTCCTCTTCCACGAAGTCAACAAGTGGATCGTGATCCAACTCAGTGAACAGCCGGCAATAGCTCTCAACAGAGGCATTTTTCATCTCAGCAACACCCAGGCCACCAAGTCGTGGGAAGCTCTTGACTTTCGCTCCATGCCTACTTTCCAACTTGCGTGCATGAGCTTCCAAACGTCTCCCGGTCACTGCTGCGCCTTTCATTTTGAAGATCAGGCGACTCTTCGCGACACGCGAGCCCCCTTCAAGGCAAATGGATGGCATGCTGCTGGAAGGAGCTGACTCAGAGAAAGAGACCCCATCTTCCTCAGTGACTCTGCTAGTGGCTGAACCATCTTCCAAGTCCAGCTGGATATTCAAAATCACATCATTGGAGTTTTCGCTGGTCACGGTGATCGTCCGGTTGGTGATGGAGTTGGGGGTTCCCAGGACCTCCACCGATTCCACCGACAGAGCGAGGCCTATGTTGTCCACCAGTGCTGTGGAGGCCCCGGTGGCGGCCACCCCACCTGAGCCCGCAGCCAGGGCCAAGAGATGCGAGGCTCGAGCCTCAACAGCGAAGCGACTCACAGACACCGTGAGAAACGATCCGCTGGCACCAGCCAGTGCCACGCTGCCCAAAGTTGCAGACAGAGGGTGGGTGGCGTTGCCCCAGAAAATCTCATAGGAAGATGCACCAGTTTCATCACTGGCACGTGTGATAGTACATGTCCCTTCAATGAATCCAATGCTGTTGTCGTTGTCTTGGCATTCCACCGAGTGCGGCACCACAGCTGGCGGATTGTAATCCACCAGCGGCGTTGTGACTCCTGAAGCCATTTCTCCCCCTGATGAGTTGGAAATGACCAGCAGGTCTGTGGCTCCAACTGGCAAGGCGCTTGGAGGCACCCGGATTCCAACATTGTCAAACCGCAAGGACTCGTAAATAAACTCCCAACCTTGTCCAGAGACAGAATAATCAGAACGCCAAGTGATCTCAATGGTTCCTGATGGAATACTGATCTCTGGTGGCACTTCAGTTCCAGAATAGGAAATGCCCAGAATCGTCACAAAGTCATAGTCCTGCTCAGTGTTGAGGTAGGTGAACAGCACACGACCAGGTCCCGACACTTGAATGCTGGCAAACTCATCGGTGCCATAGGTCGATGTCCCTCGCGAGACCTGATACTTTCCAGCCACTTCTGTGATGGTGATCTGTGAGCAGGACAAACCACTGCAAGAGGGTCTGGCAGTCAGGGACTCGGCCTGCATGAAACCAATGAAACTAATCTTGCTTTGTCCACTTGAGAAGTACAAATTGTAGTACTCTATGGTGGATTCGTCCAGTGCCCTGGTAATATCAGCAGTGCCAGCCACAAATCCCACTCTGGGGTCCACATCAGTGAAGCTGACACCCTGCGCGGAGTCTTGCGCTGGCGCATAGTCCATCACTTCAGCACTTGCTGCTGCGAGCGACTGTCCTTGAGCAGATGCTGAGAAAGCCAGCAGGTGCGAAGCGTTGCCTGGAAGGCTGGTGGCAGTCAGGGTCACTGTCAAGTTGGTGCCCGCCACAGTGGCTGGCACAGCAAAGAGCACGCTACTGCCTGCCATGGGAGTAGTGGAGTTCATGCCCCAGTAAACGCGGTATTCCAAGACTCCATCGTGACTACGTGCCTGCAAAATGGTAAGTGACCCTGCAACAAGGCCAGCAGAAGGATTCTCATCTGTAAACCACAAGGCCTGCGCAGCAACAGATGGAGGTGCAAAATCCACCAGCGCTGTTGATGCACAGTCTGTCTCTCCTGCAGTTGTCTGCGACACCACCATCATACTGTTGGCCCCTGAAGGTATGGCAGTTCCACTCGGTAGATTGTAGATGATGTCTCCAAAGGTACTTTCAGGGGTGAATGCCAAGGCCCAACCTTGCCCAGTCACGCTGAAGTCCGAATACCACTCAATGACCTTCATGCCTTCACCAAGCATCTGAGTTCCCGGCAAATCAGTGCCCGAAAAAGTGGCTTCTTCAACTCTAAGAGTATCGTAGCCCGATTCAGTGTCAAATCGGGTGAATTCCACAGTGCCTGGTCCATGGACTTGGATTATAGCATGTTCATTGTTCTCATATCCACCCATGCCTCTGGAAATACTGTAGGTTCCAGGCATTTCTTCTGAAATTGTAATGGAAGAACAAGCATTGCCTTCAAGGCAATTAGGTACACTACCTCCGCCGGAGCCTGGCAAACTCACAATCTGAGCAAGCGAAGTACAGCTTCCACTGCTGAAGTACAAGTTATAGGCGGTGATTCCCGTGGTGGTAGCTGCTCGCTGCACCGTCACAGTACCGCCAATCTCCATGGCAGCTGGATCCGTGTCCTCAAAAGTCAAGCCACCGGGCACTGCTGACGCATCCAGATCGGTGATCTGCACGGAGACGTTGCCGAAGCCTGGGCCAGAGATGGAGGTCACAAAACCCAGCAGATGCGTGGCACCTGAGGGAATCATTGTGTTTGCTGGCAGCTGAAGTTCCACGTCACCACCTGAACCCTTTGGCACTTGCAAAATTTCCCCAAAGACCGTTGAGGCAGTGCCCCAGTAGACGGCATAACCAACGACCTGCGACTCATCTGCTGCTCGACCCAGGGTGATGGTACCACCCAACTCTCCAGGGGATGCGTTGGTGTCAGTGAAGCTAATTGATGCTGGCACTGCTTGCACTGGAGCAAAATCCACCAGAGGAATGCTGATGCCGGTGGTCATTTCCACACCATTCATAGCCGTGTACACCAAGAGATGCGTTGCTGAGCTTGGAATGGATTGACTGCTGATGTTGTAGGTAATGTTGCCTCCAACTCCGGGCTCGATGCCGGTTTGCTCTATGATCCAAGGCATCACATAGGAGATCCGTGCCCAAACTCCAGGATATTGTGCTTGTGCACAGCCGTATCCCCATGATGTCGCACCATGCAAGACGTATCGGCCGCTTTCCGCACAGACCAAAGGTCCTCCACTATCTCCCTGACATGCATCCACTATGCCTCCAGCAGCTGTTCCTTGGGCACACAGCATGTCTGCTAAGATCTCCCCTGCATAACCAGCATTGCACTGTCCGTTGCTGACGATGCGAACCATTCCCTCTTGCAGTTCCTGGTCGGATTTGCTGGAAAGGCCCAATACAAATCAGAAATAGCTGGTCAACCAGTACAAATCATTGATGAACCAGTATGGAAATCAACAAGCACCGGCTCGACTCAACAATTCTTCAACTGGTGGATGAATCATTGGTGCAATCAAAATTTAATTCAACAAATCCAGGGTTCAGATGGTGTGGATCCACCGCTACTCAGTGTACCCCAGCCAGTGATGAAGCATTCTTGGTCGGCTGCGACCTCTGCCTCTGGGAGGCAAGCAGTTGCCACGCAGTCACCTTAAGGATGGATCAGCATGTTGAGCCCCTTGAAAGAAATCTACACATTGGTCAATTGGAATCAATTGGGATCATGCCACTTGGGATCATTTTATTTCCGATGCAAAAATGATGGACGTTTGAAGAATGTTTGAAACGTTTTGAAACCATCGTACAGTCACCCATTTCCACTTCTTCGTTGAGTTCGATGAGAGCAAAATCATGTGTCATTGTGCCAGAATCGTAGTTGTGATGATTGATGACGCGTAGGACTTCGTAACTTCTCGCATGCACCCCTTCGCTTGAATCCTTGTTGAAATCTCCAAGAGTTACCACGAAGTTTATAGCTCCCTGCGTGCAGTGGGCTGCAGTCATCACCCATCGGGGTGCAATTAACGTTCCTCCACAGAAATGGAACTCGCTTGATGAATAACGAAGGCTGGCTTGCCATCTCCATTCACCTCGGTCCATGTTTAAGCCCCCTGGGATTTAAATCGTTATATACTTTGTATTTATTTCAGATACTTCAAAGATATAAGATGATATAAGATACATATTCCCAATTCTGGGTCAAGTCACACTCAGTTGCAGTTTGCCCATTCACGATTTTAGGACCATTGACTCCACGTCTCGAGACACGCAGAGGTGTCAAATCTGGTCCTTTCACGCCACAGCTGCGTCCACTTGATGAAGCACTGGCGGAAAGTTGAACCAGGGGATTGGAACCCAACTTGCTGGTAGCTGAACTTCCCCAATAGATCACATAATGTGAGATACTGCTCTGGTTGGCCGCCACCTCCAGAACAATGCTACCGGAAATCTGCCCCGCTGCGGGGTCCACATCCGTGAAGTGCACAGCACTGGCCGTTTCGGTTGGAGGAAACGCATCTCGAATCACTACAGAAGAGCTGCTTGCACCTTCACCAGCTGCAGTGGATCCTCGGACCAAGATGTGACTTGCTTCCTGTGGGATCTCGAGGTCTTGAATCTGGAAAACCGACTCCCCAGATGCCGCAGCAACACCTTGCCAAATGCATTTGCTGATTTTGGTTCTGAACAAATCGGAAAAAAAAACAACTTCCCGTTAGATTCCCCAGATTTTCGCCACTCTGGTGGTTGAACCCATGGGAAAACATGGAAAAACATCAGCACATCATCAGCAAATCCAGGACACTGCCGATCAATGCATTGCTGAGTGAGCCATGGCGCAGCACGCTCGAGGGCACCGCCTGGCGGTAATTGGAGGTGTCGGGCCCATTGTATTCGAGACGAATGCTGTAGCTCCCATAGGCGTTGAAGAACAAAACCTTGGCTTTGCTGATTCGCGGTCCCAGACTCCCAAAAACAGGGAAAAAAATAAATAAATCCGCCGACCCCGGCTGATGCAAAGGGGAGCGCGTCAAGGATTACAGGTTTTTGTTTGTGCAACAACAACAACAACGCGCAAAGAAAGACTTGGGAGGCCTCGAACGGGTTGGGCGCTGATTCTGACGGAAAATCTCAGGGTTCCCCTCTGGGGTTTGTCTAAACACGAGGGAGACCCACTTGAACGATTTTTTGCCAACAAATTTCAATTGGATCCTTGTGCGTCCCAAGCTTGGGTGGAACAGGTAGGTTTTCGTTTCCAATTTCCTGCTGCACAAAGAGTTTTTACACACGGAAACTTTTACACACAGTGAAATCTTTACACAGACGCGCTTTCACACAGAGAAGCTTTCACACACAGAAGTTTTTACACAAAGAAGTGTTTACACAGAGTGGTTTTTACACACAGAAACTTTTACACTCAAAAAGTTTTTACACAGAGAAGTCTTTGCACAGAGGCGCCTTTACACGAAGTAACAAGTTGAAATTGGCAGCAGTTCTTTAGGAAAAACCCTTCGCAGGAGGGAACTCACCTGCTCCCAAAAACACCGTCTATTTCCAACAAAGTTCCTATTCCATGAATATGTTCCAAATAAACCCAAAGAGTATCCCCAACAGCGAGAAACAAAAACAGTTGCCAAACACGCAATGAATGAAGTATGTTTATTGCCCCGCCCTTTTTACTCTAGAGGTCGGGCGTGCAAGCTGCAATCACGGCACAAACACTGTATAAAAAAACGTTTTTCCAAAAGCGTTTGCGATACTGTGGCCAACATGCCCGAAGCTCGTGCAAAGGGTTCTCTTCCCAAAGAACTGCTGTCCGCCTCACTCTTCACTTCATCTACCTAACATACATCATCCACATCTTTTTTGTCCTTTACATCACCTACATCTTCTATACCATCTTCTAGACCATCTTCCCTATATTTACATCTACATCTACACCATCAGCACCATCATCATCATCATCATCATCATCTACATTTGTCTCACCTACATTATCTACACCACCTACACATTTGTCCATCAACCTCATCTATATGACATGTTTTATCTACAACACATACATTACCGGCATCATCATCACCTACATCACTACATCCTCTACATCACCCACATCACCTACATCTTCTGCACCATCGTCCTTGCATCATCATTATCATCATCACCACCACCACCACCATCATCATCATCTATCTCACCTACACCATCTACATCACCTACCCACTCCTTTTCCATCAGCTCATCTACATGACATGCATCATCTACAACGCATACATGCCCTACATCATCATCTATATCGCTGCATCCCTACATCACCTATCTCTTCAAACCTATCTAAACTTACATCACTTACAAGACTTACAACATCATCGTCATCATCTACAATATACATAGACAACGACACCTACATCAGCTACAGGTGATCAACTTCTAGGGAACTCCTACAAAACTTGAAAAATGTTGTTTACACAGGAGTTGACTTGCAGGTGATCCACTTCTACTTGAACTCCTACAAGAGTCCTGCCTGCAAGGTCATTTGCACAGAAATTGTTGCACAGGAGTTGCTACACAGGAGTTCGGCTAACTTCCAGTGATCAAATTGTATGTGAACTCCTGCAAAATCCGACTTCTCCAGTTCTTCTATTTCTCTCTGGCGGCAGCGACAGCCAGGCGGTGGCTTACGAAACGTTACCCTCTGCGGCGTGTCGGATACCCAAACGTGTGGCGAAATGCGGGTCTTGTTTGTCCTTGGGCCCGCAGCAACCGTCTGCGGAGACAGAGATCGCGCAGGTCGGACATCCAAACACGTGGCAAAATGCAAATTTGGCAGGGCCCGGCGCAGCCCCTTCGCACGAAATGAGCGTCAACCATCAAAAACTGGTGTATTTTGAAAGTTCAGATGCAAGCGTGGCATGAAAGCTAAACGGCAATAACTGTGGGAAAACTGAGCTTTTTTTAACGTCAGATGCAAACGTTCAAGAATTGGTGTAAAATTGCGACTTTATCCATTTTGGATCGTCAGGCACAACTGTTTCACGCGAAATAAACTGGTGTAAAAATGCGATTTTACAAGGTCAGGCGCAACCCATTTCACGCAAAATGATTGTCCAACGTCAAGAATTGCGATTTTCCAACGCCGGATGCAACCCCTTCGCACGATATGATGGCCAAACGTCAAAAACGTAAAATTGCGACTTTTTGAAGTGTAAAAGCTGCTCTGTGGAATCGGTTTTTCTGTGGGAAAGCGTCTGTGTGTAAAGGCTTCTCTGTGTAAAAGCTTCTGTGCGTAAAAGCCCTGTGTACACAAGCCTTCTGTTTGTAAAGACGTCTGTGTGTAAAAGCTCGTGCTCAAAAGCTTCTCTGTGTAAAAGCTTCTGTGGAAAAGCTTGTGTGTGTAAAAGCTTCTGTGTGTAAAAGATTCTCTGTGTAAAGGCTTCTCTGTGTCAAAGCTTCTGTGATTCTCTGAAAAACCATCTGTGTCTAAAAGCTTCTGTGTGCATAGGCGTGTATATGTCAAAGCCTCTCTGGGTAAATGCTTCTGTGTGGAAAGGCATCTGTGTTCAAAAGCTTCTATGTGTAGAAACATCTGCCGCATCTGTGTGAAGAACTTTTGTGTAAATGCCTCTATGTGTAAAGACCTGTCTGTGTAAAAGCTTGGGCATTTGCGTGTTTAAAGTTTCTGTGTGTATAAGATTGTATAAGCTGCTCTGTGCAAAGGCCTCTCTCTGTGTAAAAGCTGCTCTGTGTAAACCCTGCTCTGTGAACAAGCTTCTATGCGTAAAAGCGTCTGTGTGTAAAAGCTCTGTGTGTACAGGCGTGTGTGTGTAAAGCTTTTGTGTGTGTGTGTAAAGCTTTTGTGTGTAAATGCTTCTGTGTTTGAAAGATGCTCTGTTTAGACGCTTCTCTGTGTCAAAGCTTCTCTGTGTAAAGCTTCCGTGTGAAAACCTCTGTGCGTAAAAGCCCTGTCTGTGTAAAGGCCTCTCTGCGTCAAAGCTTCAGTGTGTAAAAGCTGCTCCGCATAAACGCTGCTCTGTGAAAACAAACCTAAGTGTAAAAGCTGGTCCGCGCAAAGGCTTCTCTGTGTGAAAGCTGCTGTATGTAAAAACCGTTTGTGCTCAAAGTTCCTTCCCACAAACGCTTGTCTGTGAAAAAGCTTCTCTGTGCAAAATCTTCTCTGTGTAAAAGCTTCTGTGTGTAAAAGCTTCTGTGTGTAAAGGCATCTCTGTGCAAAAGCTTCTGTGTAAAAGCTTTCTTGTGAAAAGGCTGTAAAAGTTTCTGTGTCTAAAAGCTTCTTTTTGTAAGGCATGTGTGTGCAAAAGCTCCTGTGTGTAAAAGCTTGGGCATCTGCGCGTTAAAGTTCCTGTGAGTAGAAACTTCTTTGTGAAAAAGCGTCTGTGTGTAAAGCTGCTCTGTTTAAAGGCTTTCTGTGGTGACAAGGCTTTTCTGTGTAAAAGCTTCTGTATATAAAAGCGTCTGTGTGCAAAAGCGTCTGTGTAAAAGCTGCTCTGTGTAAATCCCTCTCTGTGTAAAGGCTTCTGTGTGTAAAATCTTCTCTGTGTAATTTTTTCGCTGTGTAAAGACAACGTGTCTTTTGATTCTGACTGTCGCTCAGGTGCCAGCCCTGGAGCAAACCCTCTGCGGGGAGAAAAAAGGCATGAAATCGTGGATATATATAACATTTGACTCGCGTCAGCTATCATTCATCATCATCTCCATCGCCATTCATCCTCGCCATCGTCATCGCCATCACTATCGTCATCATCATCATCATCACCATCATCATTTTTCTTGTGTATGATCTTCTCGTCTCTTCCCTCCTGCTTTCTTTCATGCCACGCTGTCGTCTAGTGTTTCTATCCATGTGCGAGTGCCGTATCATGTTTTGAAGTAAAACTAGTTCTTCTTCAATCTCTCCATTCCGTTATTAGAACAAGTCTTCAAACTTTGCAGTTCTCCTGATTCTGTTGTTCAATGTTCTTGGAACCTTGCCTGGGCAACTGTTCTTGGACACGTTGCTTGACACTTCGGAACCTTGCTTGGGAACCTGTTCTTGGGAGCCTATTCTTAGGAACCCGCTCTTGGGAGCATTGCCTGGTAACCTGTTCTTGGGAACTCTCTCTTGGGAACCTGTTCTTGGAAACTTCGCCTGTTTGCTTCAAACCTGTTCATTGGGACCTTGCTCGGGAACCTGGTTTTCGTAACTTTGCTTGGGAACCTTGTTTAGGAACCTGTCCTTCGGAACCTTGCTTGGGATTCTGTTCTTGCTTCCAACCTTGCTTGCAGATGTTGGTTGAAATTTCGCTTTGCAAGTTGTTCTTGGAAAGCTGTTCCTGGGAACATGAGCAACCTGGAACCATGCTTGGGAACGTGTTCGTGGGAACCGTGCTGGCAACCTATTGCTCGGAATCTTCCTGGAGAATTTGTTCTTGGAACCTGAACCAGTTCTTGGGAACCTGTTCTTCGAACCCTTGCTTGAGAACCTGTTCTTGCGAAGCTTGCTTGCAAACCTGTCCTTGGGCACCTTGCTTGGGACCTGTTCGTGGAAACCTTGCTTGGGAACCTGTTCCCAAGGACCTTGCTTGGTAACCTTGCTACCCTGCAAGCAAACCTGTTCTTGGAACTCTTGTTTGGAAACTTGAGGCACTGTTCTTGGAACCTTGGGAACTTGTTCCTGGGAACCTTGCTTGGCAACTGTTTCTGGAACCCTTGCTTGGGAACCTGTTCTTGGGAACCTGACTTGGAAATCATTCCTGGTAACCTTGCTTGCGAACCTGTTCCTGGTAAATTTGACTGGAAATCTTGTTCTTAGGGTGGCTGAAGACCTCAACCTTACGCTGTTGGGGAAAAGTTCCCAAGCAAGTTCCAAGGAAGAGGTTCCCAAGCAGGTATCCAGGAAGAAGTTCCCAAGCAAGGCTACTTAAGCTCTTAGGAACCGCTTGCAAGTACGGTTCCCAAAAACCGTTCCCAAGCAAGGTCCCAGGAACCGTTTCGGCGCAAGGTTCCAAGCAGGAACAAGGCTTGCAGGAACAGGTTCCCAAGCAAGCGTTCCCAGGAAGAGCTGGTTCCCAAGCAAAATTTCCAAGAGCAACTGGGAACCCTTGCGTGCGAACCTCTTCCTGGGAACCTTGCTTGAGAACCTCTTCCTAGCAACCTTGCTTCAGACTCTGTTCCTGGGAACCTTGCTTGGGAACCTTTTCCTGGAAACATTGCCTGGGAACTTTTTCCGGGAACCTTACTCGTGAACCTGTTATTGGGAAACTTGTTTGGGAACCTGTTCCTGGGAACCTGTTGCTTGGGAACCTCTTCCTGGGAACCTTACTTGTGAACCTGTTCTTGGGAACCTTGTGTGGGCACCTGTTCCTGGGAACCTGCGGCTGGGAACCTTGCTTGGGAACCTCTTCCTGCTTGGGAACCTGTTTCCTGGGAACCTTGCTTGGAACCGCTTGGGAACCTTGCCTGGGAACCTCTTCCTGGCAACATTCCTCTTGGCAACCTCTTCCTGGGAAGCCTTGCTTGGGAATCTGCTCCTGGTAACTTTGCTTGGGAACCTTGCATTGCTGGGAACCTCTTCCTGGGAACCTTGCTTGGGAACCTATTCCTGGGAACCCTTGCTTGGGAACCTCTTCCTGAAAACCTTGCTTGGGAACCTCTTCCTGGGAACCCTTGCTTGGGAATCCTTGCTTGGGAACCCTTACCTGGGAACCCTCGCCTGGGAACCCTTGCTTGGGAACTTGCTTGGGAACCTCTTGCTGGGAACCCTTGCTTGGGAACCGGTTCCTGGGAACCTTGCTTGCGAACCTTGCTGGTAACCTTGCTTGGGAACCTTGCCTGGGAACCTTTGTTGGGAACCTTGCTGGGAACCTCTTCCTGGGAACTTCTTCCTGGGAACCTCCTCCTGGGAACCTTGCCTGGGAACTTTGCTTGGGAACCTTGCTGGGAACCTCTTCCTGGGAACCTTGCTTGGGAACCTTGCCTGGGAACCTTGCTTGAGAACCTTGCCTGGGAACCTTGCTGGGAACCTCTTCCTGGGAACCTTGCCTGGGAACCTTGCTTGGGAACCTTGCCTGGGAACCTTGCTTGGGAACCTTGCTGGGAACCTCTTCCTGGTAACCTTGCCTGGGAACCTTGCTTGGGAACCTTGCCTGGGAACCTTGCTTGGGAACCTTGCTGGGAACCTCTTCCTGGTAACCTTGCCTGGGAGCCTTGCTTGCGAACCTTGCCTGGGAACCCTTGCCTGGGAACCCTTGCTTGGGAACTTGCTTGGGAACCTCTTCCTGGTTGCTGGGAACCCTTGCTTGGGAACCGGTTCCTGGGAACCGGTTCCTGGGAACCTTGCTGGTAACCTTGCTTGGGAACCTTGCTTGGGGAGCCTTTGGGGGGAACCTTGCTGGGAACCTCTTCCTGGTTGCTAGGAACCGTTGCTTGGGAACCTGTTCCTGGGAACCTTGCTTGGGAACCTCTTGCTGGGAACCCGGTTCCCAACCTTGCGCCGTGCCGATCTGGCTGCCCCGAGGGATTCTCCCGTAAAAGGAAACTCCTCCCCGGAACCTTCCCCGGAACCCGGTTCCCAACGGATTTGGCTGCTCCGACCTGCTCCGGAACCTTTACTATGGCTGAAGACCCCAAGCTTACGCTGTTGGGGAAAAACATAAGGAAAATATTTCTGAAGCAGGTCCTCATTCAATAGCTTTCAAGCCCACACTGCGATGAAATGGAGGGTCGAGTAATCCGGCGGAGCCGACGATGAGCATCAGCTCAATAATAAAAAATAAGCCCAAAGAATATCCCCAACAGCAAGAAAGCAGCGGCCGTAGATCCCAAACAGTAATTCCATATAAGCGTGGTAGTTTTTGTTTCATGACCAAGCACTGCAGTCCTGCCCGCCGGCCCCCCCTACTATTACTGCTTCTACTACAACAACTACTACTACTCCTCCTACTACTCCTACTACTCCTACTCCTACTACTACTACTACTACTACTGCTACTACTACTACTACTACTACCACTACTACTACTACTACTACTACTACGACTACTACTACTACTACTACTACGACTACTACCACGACTACTACTACTACTACTACTACTACCACCACGACTACTACTACTACTACTACCACCACGACTACTACTACTACTACTACTACTACTACTAGAAGTATTAAAAGTACGC